CTACTATTTGTTGAATGCTTATTTTGTGCGTGTATTTTCATAGTATATTTTCTTGTTAAAACAACTCATCCAGATGGGAATTCTAGTCTCCACCTTAGCTTAAAGAAATTAAACAGTTTGCCCTTGCTAACAGGAGAGTCACATTAATTAAACTAAAAATCCAGAAATAGAACTTATGCCTTTCTTTGTTCTCCCAAAATGGGTGAAGTTGATAGTCCTTTTTCTGAGGCAGTAACACTGAAGAATAGAACCTGCTCAACCCTAGTAGTTTGGGGATGCAGTAATTTGTAAGGAGGGGACCAGTATGGTTGAACAAGGCCTCCTTGCCCCATTCTGATGCCCGTATCCCTTTCTGTACTAAATTTTCTTACCAAAATGAGCTTCAGATAAAGTAGCAGCGTTTGTTTTTTCTTTCCTGTAAGTTATACTGATTTACTTAATGTAAAGAAGACTTACAGCAAAACAGCTGGAAGCAACATCTGCTGACTGAGCCCCATCATTTCTCTTTTCACAGTTATTCCATAGGTGGCAGAGCTTGATCTGAGTGAACTCTGAAGTGGAAGAATTCAGGAAAAAACAAATTGAGACCTTCTAGGTGAGAGAAACATGAGCAAGAGAACTTCTAGAGAGGGCCAGGAACTAGGAGTGGTCATTGTCATTCATTTAGTGAGAAAGCTGAACAAGAAGAAATACAGTAGGTATGTGGTTTATGGCCATATTCTGGAGGGGAGTTTAGGCTTAATGAGGTAAGCTCTTATGTGTGAATTTAGTTATGCTATGAATCGTTACTGACTATGTATATAAAAAGGATGACGATGCTGTAAGATTGATTTGTCTGGCAGAATCAGGCTGTCTGGATGAGAGATCCCATGTGGAGGATGGAAAGGAGTATCTGGTAAACAGCAGTCTATCACTATAAGCTTTTTTATTCCTTACAGTCAGTTTGCAGGAATAGAAATACAAGTTAACTTCTGTTCAAGCATAGTCATGGCAAAATGACTGAAATAGGGGTGTAGTCAGTTATGTTTAATTTCTGAACATGTTATTCATCCAGATAGTAAACTTATATAATATTTCTGTAAGTAAATTTTAACATACATTAGAATGAGTACTTAAGTAGTGGGAGAAAGAGTATAAATAAATTACAAGAGGCCAGAAAGGGGATAATATTAGGAAAACATTGTCAAATACCAGAACATTAGTAAGTAGTAGAATTAGAATATTGGCAGAAACCACCATATACTGATGGATTTAATCTCAGTGTAGAAGAAGAAGTTGGAATTGGGTAACAGAGGTTGATCAGTGGTTAGAGAGACAGAAAGAGACAGAAACAGAGAGACAGACAGAAACAAAGAGACAGAGACAGAGAGAAAGAGAAAATGAGAATTGATTGAGAAGGGGTGAGAATTGGTCTGGGAAGAACCATGGCAAGGCCAGCTTCAGGTTTCCCTGGAAGCCAGTGAAAATGAAGCACATACATCCTTGTCAGCCTGCTCCTGAGGACCAGGCCATCAAGTGGTATAGCTGAGCAAGTCTGGGTATAAATGCAGGAAGTGGAAACTACTTAGATCTGAGTCATCTCTCCATTTTTATCCTTGATTCCTTTTTCCTCACTGCTCTAGAAGGACTGACCCAGCTTTATTTCTAGGTTGACCATCTTTAGTTGTAAAATTGGTATCAAGCATAGTTAAATAAACATTCTGATGCAATGTTAAAAAATAAATTATAAGGCTCTTTAAGCTTACCCTTTTAAAATACAACCAGTATTTTCCTTTGGAACTTGGAAGCTTTACCAAAAATAGTTACAGTCTCCAGGTGAAAAGGAGCTTTGATATAAAAGGACTACAATACTCTTTCTCTACCAGGAATTAAGAGCATTTCTAATGTGGTGACATGTTCTCCTTGAAGGGAGGGATGAGGAATATGACAGTCCCAAACCAGAATGCCAGATGTTTCTTGTTCTGTGTTTCTTTTGCTTTTGTCATTCTGCCCTCCTTCCTGTTCAAGTTGACCAAACCCCAAGCTCCAGCTGTCTTCTGACCCTTACACCAGCTGTTAAAATTTTCAAGCTATGCAAGGAACCCAAGGACACAAATACTGTATGTGTGAAGTTCTTTTTTTCCTCTTTTCATATTCGTGATTTCCTTGACCCAGTGAATCCTCAACTGATTTTCCATTGTGATTCCAAAACTTTCATGTATGACATACTCTCATGGTTATACCAAGATATTTATAAAATCAGAAAAAATGCTCCTAAGATTTAGTGTCACTAAATGTGAATATTCACATTCCATATCATTTATTCATTAGGTACTGTGATTCAGGTAAGATTGCATTCTATTTTTAAGTAATCAGTGGATTTTGCTACAAGTTAATAAATTTCAGAGCATAGATTCACTTCCTGAATTAGGTTTATCTAAGTATAGTGGAATTTTATCTGCATGTGAAGCAGATTAAACTGAATATGCAGACTCTATTGAGCCACAGGAGCCATATCACTGTATTGACAAGTTGAAACAGCTTTTTTTAAACTGCTCTATTTCCTCAATCCAATGAAATGAAACTCCTTTCTCTGGAATATTCATTATATTCTCATTTATTGGTTTATAATTTTCATATGCATGAGGTATAACTGAGGGACTCTCTCTTAGATCTGTTATGGTTGATGTCAAATACAAAACCTATGATATGTCCCCCTTTTTTCCCTAAAAAGTCATGATATTCTCACCATTAATCTTTTAGGCTAATTCTCTTTTTCTTTTCAGGGATGATATCATTTACCAATGACTTTGAGTTGTTGCAACATTTTCTGGTAAAATTCAAGACAAAGCCATTGCTATAGGTAATTAGGGATTTACTCTCAAATGCTTTAGTATACATTATTGTTCCATTTACAAATTAATGTATTTGTTTTCTACATGGATAAATTGTGGCATAGATGATATTAATGAAGAGAGAACTGTATTATCTATTTCTTTGTGAAAACCAACCCTAAAATTACTGGCTTTAAACACAGTAGATTTATTTTTTTCTTACAGTTCTTTGGGTCGGCTGGACAGTTCTATAGGTCTGGCTTGGACTCACTTGGGCTTACTTATACATTGAATTCACATGATGGCTAGGTCCAGAGTAACCTAGTCTTAACTTATATATCTACATCTGGTGCTGCCTATTGGCTGTAATGCCTTGGTTCTTGCACCTGTGACCTTTCATCCTCTAGAAGATTAAGGTTCTAGCATGGCACTCTCAGGGCAGAACTCCAGGATAGTCAAATTGGATACAGAAGTACCTACTAATCTACTTGTTTCACTTTGTTGATGTAATATTGGCCCAAGCAAGTCACATGGTTAAACCCAAAGTTGGTATGGGATTAAGCTTAGATGGCATCTCTTTGTAAAAATGGCAAAAAAAATTTTTATAATGACATTTAAGTGAAGTTATGTTTAGAGGGGGATTATCTTCCCTACCAAAAGTTGTGCTGGGATAGAAGAGAAATGGACATCAGAAACAAAGGGGAAAAGCCAGGTGTGGGAGTACACACCAGTATTCTAGCTTCTTGGGAGGCTGAGGTGGGAGGATTGCAAGTTTAAGGCAAGCCTGCTAACTTAGTGAGACTTTGAATCAAAATTTATAAAGAGCTAGAGGTATATAGTTCAGTGAGAGAGTCCTTGCCTAGCATGTGTGAGGCCGTGAGTTGTCTGTAGTACATAAAAAATAAAGAAAGAAGGAAAAGGGAACTAAAATCTGTACACAGGTGCTTAGAAGTAAACTGCACTGAGAAATAATAGTCTGTAATCTCAGCATTCTGAGAGGCTGAGACAAAGATTACAAGTTCTAAGCCTAGCCTGGGCAACTTAGCAAGATTGATCTTGTTTCAAAATAAAAGCAGAAACAAAGGAAAAAAGACTTGGGTGGCCAAGCTGCTAGCATTATCTAAATCAGCTAGGTAGCACTTCATACAATAAGATGGTTATAATAAAAGCTATAAAAAGTACTTACATTTACATTAGGCTTTAAAATTTACGAAACATTTTCATATGCCTTATCATATTTATCCTCAAGGTACTACATAAATATTCATGATGATATTAATTCCCATTTTGCAGTTGATCAAACGAAGATTCAGAGAGTTTCATTAACCTTTCCATGGTCGTAACACTATTAAATGGAAGAGCCAGGGTCCAAGGATTTCTGATAACCAGCCCTATTCTCATTTTGTGGTAAAACTTTGTGCAAAGAATAAAATATAAAGCAAATAAGGACATAAATATCAAGACATGAGTTTTCAAATTTTATCAAACAAAACATATTCTAAACAAATAAACTGATGGCCTCTCTGTTTGTTTTAGTAGTAATTGATAGAAACTTACATAGGATAGAATTTATTCTCCCCATGCTTCTGAACCAATGATGGGAAAATGGGAAGCAAAACTGAAGCAAATTGAAGAACGAGCATCTTGCTATGAGAGGAAACCATTGTCCTCGGTGTATAGACCAAGATTATCTAAGCCAGAAGACCCATCCTCTGTATGGAAGCTATTTCATCGACAAAATCAAGCTTTTAATTTTGTCAAAAGCTGTAAAGAGGTAATTGCCTCTTTCTTTTCGAGCAACTATCACTCAAGCTTTCTTTTAAAAAAATCTATTATTTATCTTCATTTCAAACTGTGTACTTTACGAAGAGAATTTAATAGCCATCTTAATATGACTTTATTTATTTATTTATTTATTTATTTATTTATTTTGGTACCAGAGATCAAACTTGGGTTTTTACACTTGCGAGGCAGACAGCGGAACCACTGAGCTAAATCCCTGGCCCAATATGACATAATTTAGGAAAAATATTCCTTGGAATTGTTAACCATTTAATTTATGTCAGTAATTAAAAAGAATGACATCTCTAGTTCCAGTTAGTGTAAAATATGTATAATGACCTTTAAGTGAAGCTATGCTTAGAGAGAAGGTAAGCATATTTATTGCTAACACATTAAGCAAGTTGCAAGAAGTGCTTGTTACCTGCCAACCTTGCAAAGTGCATGGTGTTCAAAATATTAATAAATTAGCAATACATGTATATTTCATACCTTTTGTTTCTTGGGCAGTGTGGGAAATATAAAAACAAAAAGATAAGATGCACACAGGAAATCTAACTTAAATGTATTGTGATTCTTGATCATTCAAACTATGTAGAAGCTAAAAGTAGTCAAATTTGGGGAGAGGTACTCTTTCCCTATTAAAGAGATGCTTACTCAAAACTTATCAGAATAATTTAACCTATGAGTTTCACACATGAAAAACCTTTCTTTTTTGTAAATCTGTTTGGTATCAGACATTAAAATACTGACAGATTCATTTGAACTTGGATTTAACATGTTCACAATGGGGCCATAATTTGTATGTCTTGCTGCTGGATGGCTCTGAGGTACCAGTAGTACATGTATGACTGACCCATGCCGGCCATGGTTCAGTTATGCATGTAGCACCCGTGACTAAAGCAGGCGGGAATATGTTTAAAAAAAAAAAGATACAGAGGTATGCTTGCTAAAGTATCAATCACTCATGTACAGCATTTATTTCAAAAAGATTTTTAACAGGATCAAATAGTTGAGTCCTTCAGTGATTTCTCACTCATGATAATGAAAAAAGGCTCAATAGTTTAGCTAAGTGTTCTGCTTCCTGCCTCACAAGTGCGAGGTCCCGAGTTCGATCCCTGGTACCAAAAAAAAAAAGTTTAGCTAAGTGGAAACAAAAGAGTGTGTGTACATATGCCTTTATTAAATGCAGCAAGCATGAACCGTTCTATTTAATTCATTACTATAGTCACCTTTAAAAAATTCATACCCATATACATTTTTATGTGTATTACAGAATTTATTAATTAATTTAGCTGAAATTATAGCAATAGGTCATTTTGAAAAATAAACTTAATTTCATAAAATAAGAAATAAAACTCAGGTTAAACTAGAGTAAGAGAATGTTTTCTCCTTTTAATCTGAATATGCTAATTGTTTACATTTTGTACGTGTATTATGTGAATGATTAAAAATAAATATAGATTTTGAATGACAGATGTAGTGACTTTGTTTTTAATAATATAATTATTCATATTCTGGTTTCTGAAGCTTGAGTGGTGAAATTCTTTATGAACATTTAATGGTTACAGTTGAATTTAGATGTATTTTTAATAGTGTTTTTCTTATATAGAATGTACACGTATTTGCTTTGGAATGCAAAGTGGGAGATGGACAACGTATTTATCTTGTAACAACCTATGCTCAACTTTGGTTTTACTATAAATCCAGGTAAGCAGATTGTAACAGAATACAGCACATTAAACTGAAGTTGCAGTTCCTTTGTCTACTAATTTTGATGAAATTAATTCAGGCTGAGTGTCTTTCATAGTTCTTGACCACCTAATAATTTATTCTTCACTATTTTAATAGTTCCAGAGTTTTCTTTTTATAGCAACACTCATCTCATGAGGTGCTAGGAGAAAAAAAAATCCTCACTCTTTCACTCACACACACATACACACAAATTTGTGTACCCAAAGGGAATTTTCTCTTTTACAAACAAATGTTAAAGTTTCTCTTTTGCAAGCAAATATTAATTTGTACTGTTAATTACAAATGAATACTTGCTAATATGAGGGAATATCTTTTTTATCTGAGTGGTGTATTCATTTACTTCTCAGACCCGAGTAACATATAGAAAAGGAGAGTAAATTAATATGTATACCCTGTATTAACGTAAAATACTTTCATTATATACATGCAACACTAGTTAGAGGTGAATTAAAATTCTTAGGACAATGTGACAAATGATGTCTGTCTGAAACTCAATCCCACATTGCAGTGTAAATATGGTACTGACTGTTACAGAGCACGATTGTGCACCTGTGTGTGTGTGTGCACTTGTGTGTTTCGAGTTCCCTATACTACATGTGTCACATGGTGATACAATCCCCATCACTTCTGCTGTTTCTTATTACCACAAACCTTTTATCTATAAGGTTGCCATCTGAACTTATCTAAATTATCTTAGTCTAAATTATCTTTCACATTTTGAGTCAACTCATATACTTAACCCATGTGAAAGTCATTCTGCCTATGACAACAAGAATGTGTGCCAACTGCAAATGTGAGCATGGGAAGCTTACTGAAGTCAGATGATTCAGATTTTTAATTTTTTTATTCATTCAATTTATTTTTTTATCAATTAAAAAATCATCTTCCCAATGAAAATACAAAGTTTTAAAATTCTCATGGACATTTCATATAATTTCAAGAATATGTGCACCCAGCATCCTAGTTTGAGAAAAATCATTCTTTTCTCACACAAAATTTCTTTCATGATGACACTAAAAGCAAATAAAGGGATTAGACACTATCAAAATCATCTGTGAGTAAATTAACACTATAGGATTGAATTTATTTTCCAGTTAAATAATGTTATAGAATATGATTATTACATCTCCTTTGATGGAAACTCTTGATGCTATGAACCATAGACCTAAGAATATCATTTTTCATAGGTATATGTAGTTAAAGCACAGCACTAACTTGAGATCTAAGATCATCAACTTCCTTGATTTTAAAGATATAAATATGACAAGCTCAAATTGTTCTTTTTAGGAAACATCTTTTGCACTGCTATGAAGTCATTCCTGAAAATGCTGTGTGCAAGCTTTATTTTGATTTGGAATTCAACAAACATGCCAATCCTGAAGCTGATGGGAAAAAGATGGTTGTATTACTCATAGAGGTAAATGACAGACTCAGGTTTGTCTCTTGTATCTTTCCATTCATCTTTTCATTCACTTACTCATTCAGTAAATGAAGCCTATGTCATATGTTGGTTCCCTATTTCTCCTTTTTTTTTGCTACTCTTTTAGTGACTTTCATTTTTAATATCATTTCTATGAGTGAACTGAAAAGAAATGACAGTTTAGCCAGGCATGGTGGCACATGCCTGTAATTCCAGCACTCTGGAGGCTGAGGCAGGAGGATTACTGAGAGTGCAAGGTCAGCCTGTGGCGCGGACTGAGTTCAAGGCCAACCGGGACTAGATAGCGAGACCCTGTCTCAAAAAAAAAATGACAATTCAATTTAATTGCTTATATTGTATAATATTATAATTGATGAAAAAGTACTTTGAGAAAGATGGCTTCCTGTGTTCTTAATTTACATATTAATTCTCTGACTTTGGTTACAAATAGCTGGATTGAGTAAAGACCAATTAAAGTAATTTTTACTGTAAAAACTGGAGACTGATGAACTACAAGGAAACTTTGACTAAAAATAGCATCAGAATTTTGAAACTGGCAGGAGTTTTTATGGAAATCATTTTATTTTGTACTTTCATAAATGAGGAAATTAAGACCTAGAAGAGACCAGTGCACTCATGTCCTAAAGCTGGTTATTAATGAAACCTAGTCTAGAAACATAACTGTACCTGTTTTCTTCTAAGCAAAAAGAGTGTAGTTCTGTTATTTACTTTTAATTTAGCTTTGTCAACCAAACATGTAAAAAAAAAAGGAAGTGGATCAAGAGATGGATGGAGGCAGAAAGGAGAGAAGGAAAAGGGAGTGAGAAAAAAGGAGTTAAGATGTACTATGTACATGTACCAGTTTTCCACAGGGAATGTAACCATTACATACTATAAACATGTCCTAATTAAAAAAAAATGTTAATTCTTGCAAGTAAAAAAATAAAAAGAGAAATACCACAGACTGTGTAACTATTCTGTTAGCATTATTTCTAAAAAACTTTAATAATTATATTGCATAAAGTTGTATTAAAATTATATTGACTATTATTTGGCTTTAGAGTAGGTATTAACATTTATTAACTATTTTTCTTTGAGATACAAACTAAATAATTTTATAAAGGTAATGTTATAACTTTTAAGATATATCCAAATTAAAATGTTTTTGGTAAAGGATATCTGCTAATTATGTCGGATCGTTCCATGATTTATTTCAAATTTATTTGAAAAATATTTGTAAGTACTTTAAAAAATATATAGAATGTTAGCTTTCTCTTAGCTTTGAAAAAAAAGAAATACAGTTTATATAAAGTCCCTCTTGTTTCCTAAAACAAAAACAAATTACATTTTTCTTAAAATAGCCATTGAGTTCTTTAAAAATGCTTTATTTCACATTTATTTAAAAATGCTTTATTTATGTAGTTGGTAAATTGTATTTAATTTTTAACCTTAACTGTGTTTCTAATAATTGTAAAATACTGATTTTATTTCTGGTGTGTTGCACTTTTACAGTTTAAAGTCTAAAGCAGAATTTCTTGTGTAGATTCCCTATTGACTACCAACAAGGAGTTAAGATTCAGAGATTTTACATGTTTACCATGGCAAAATAACAGTTCCTATTAGGATTGTTTTACTTAATACACTGCTCTTATAAGTATATTGTCAATTTTATTTATTAGTTACTTTGCATGTAACAGGTTTAATCTAGTACTTACCTTTTGAGTCTTTGAGGAGGTATAAATTAGGTTAGCTCTTATCTTTAATTTAACATATGCTTAATAAATAACTGGTTAATAATAAGTGGCTAGGGCCGGGGATTTAGCTCAGTGGTTTTGGCGCCTGCCTTGCAAGCTCAAGGTCCCGAGTTTGATCCCCAGTACCAAAAAAAAAAAAAATAATAATAATAACTGGCTATAATAATAGTAACTTTTGATTCAGTGACTTACCAGACATATTTGGTTGAGCCATTTCTATCAATTAGGATGAATTCTGGTTCTGATGCATTTTGTCAGGCCACATTGCTCAAGTACTTGTGTATTTATAACCTCTAGGTTTTACAAATTAATTATTTATATAACTATAAATTTTATTTAAAGTTTACCTTGGGCAAGAGAATTTAGGAGAATGTGATTGCTTATATTACCAGAATTACTAAATTTATTCTCTGTAGTTCCTGAGTACATAATTACACTTTCTCAAAAAATTTTCAGCCTGTAGTAAGTGTAAGGTGTTGTGCCTGAGTACCAAGAATACAATGATGAGCCCAAAGCAACATAGTTTCTGATGTCAGAATTTTAGTGTAATGGAAAATAATAAATTAGGATAGATATAGCTGATATAATTTTAAAAAACCCGAACTAAAGTAGCTGAAACAGAATTGAAATATATTTATTTTTCAAGTAATATCTGACTGGTTCCACTCTATTAGACACTAGATGTTGTCTATTAGACCTAAGATGTTGTCTCAGTCACATTGTCCAACATGGATCCACCACAGTGTCTACATTCTAGTTAATAGGACATGGGAAAGGGGAAGGCAGGACCCTTGCCTTTAAGAGTATAACTTGGAAATGGCAATCTTTCTTTCTTTGCACATCCCAGTTACCAGACTTAGTCACATGGTCACAAAGGAGTATAGTCTTTATTCTGGATGACCTCTTTTTCCATAGAAGAACAGAACAGATACTGGGAGACACCCTCTGTAACATAGGAGAAGCAGATTTCAACAAAGTCACATAAACTAATGTAAAATTGTAGCTGTATAGGTACTACAAAAAGTATATAGGGGGAATTTGGTGTAAATGGGGAGATTAAGGGAAGCTATTCTGAGAAAATGAGAATTTACTGAAAAAGAGTAAACTCAGATTGTGAAGGGGAGTATGGTACTCTAATAATGCCCAAATAGTGTTAATAAATGCAGTTTACTGAATAACTAGTAGGTATCTAAGTGTTAAGTGAACACATTTACAAATGTTTTTCCTGATCTCAAGATAACTGCATGGTATCTTTTTTTTTTTTGGTACTAGGGATCAAACTCAGGACCTTGTGCTTCAGAGGCAGGTACTGTGCCACTGAGCTAAATCCCTGGCCTTAATGCATGGTATCTTTTAATAGCTTTGTTTTTCAAATGAAAAGACTGCAGCTTAGGGAGAAAGGGCTTATTTTAAGGGTGCAAGCTAGGACCTGTGCCCAGCACTGTGCTAACTCCCTAATTCATTTCCTCAATGCTTAGAACTCCAAAAGTTAGGGGCTCTTATTATTCTGCAATTTAGGAATGTAAGGTTTAGATTTGACCAGTCACAAAGCTGGTAAATGGAAGAAGCCGAACTCACACTTAGCTCTCTCTGACTCCAAATGTTGGGGTCCTACCTGTGTGTTTGCTTCCTTTCCACCATGCATGACTTCTGTCAGTATCAGTGTCTGCCAGCCTCAGTGGCTATATGCTTGGAGAAATTCGACCCCAGTATGAATGAGATATTTTCTTATAGTAAAAACTATAAAAAATTGAATTAGCGACTTTTTAATTCATAGGTAATATTTAAAGAGATGCTTAAAATATTACAACTTTACAGCAGGCTGTATAAAAATTGTTTGACTTCTGAAAAGCCTCTTTAATCCAGAGAATACAGCTTATTTTTATTTTTTTGTTACAGCTTATTTTTTTTAACATAAACGTATAATAATTTAAAAGTGACATGTATTTCAAAGTTGATGAATTATACTATAAATATTCTGAGTAAATAAAAATTTTACTTTTTTATGTTAAATTCATTTGTACCAAGATATTTAATTTTGTTCTTAGAAAAAATTTAAAACCCAAAACATAAGTTATTTATACTTGTGTTTTTAGCATGTTTGTAAAGCACTTCAAGAATTATACAGTGTCAGTTGTTCAGCTGAAGATGTTTTCAACTTAGATTCTAGCACTGATGAAAAATTTAGCCGCCATTTAATATTTCAACTCCATGATGTGGCATTTAAAGATAACATTCATGTTGGTAAGTATACTGCCTCTTTAAAACTCCTGGCATTCGGGGATTTAGCTCAGTGGTTCCGCCGCCTGCCTTGCAAGCGCAAGGACCCGAGTTTGATCCCCGGTACCAAAAAAA